ATATATATTATGATGATGGACAGTGGAACTTGATGCTATGGAAAAATTTTTTGAGGTGGAATTTGAAGCTATTAGAATAGTATTTTAAAAATTCTTTGCAAATGGATTTTTTTTTGAGGAGGTGCATGATTGTATTTCCAGTTTATTGTAAAAAAAAAAGGAATGGATTTTCAGTGGTTCACTGCAAATTGTATATTCATTGCAAATTGAAACATCATCATCCCTTTTTTTTACCAGTGGTATGTTTACTTTGTGATATTTAAGTTTTTACTTTGTTTGGACTCACTTTTTTATAAGCTCTTTTGATATTTTTAGTTAGGAAAGGTCAATATAACTTGGAAAAAATCAATATAAGAGATGGCTATGGATAATATATAGAATAGGCTAATTGTTGTTTGTAGGGCAGCACAACTGATTTGAGACTTAAGAAATACACTTTTAATTTCAATTTTAGTTTCATTTTAAATGTTCAATATTTGATCCCATCTCTTTCTGCTAAAGAGGGGAATAATTGTTCATTGCTACTGATTTGCTTTTAATTATGCATCACAGGTTATTGGATGCTTTTGATCAAAGGTTGCTGTGGTTACTTTGAGACTTGGAATATTATATGGAGTTTTTTTTGAAGTCGAAATATTATACTTCTTCCGTTCCAATTTGATTACAAATTGCGGGTTACGGAGTAAAATTTCCTACTTTTTGAAATCATTTTATTTACATATTGATATATCAATAAAATATAAAAATTACATATTAAAAAATTACGTCAAATACAGAAAATGTAAAAATTGCATGTTTCTAAGGAAGGACAAAACAATGAATCCACAGCAACATAAAATGCCCAAGACTCAATATGAATGACATTGCTTATTTCCTGCCATGGTTAGAAAACAAAAGTTAATTGGTAGGACACAATAAGCTTCTTTTTATCCTCCATCTTCTTCCAATTTGCTGCCAATACTTTGATGAACCGGACAATTTGGAGCAAATATGGTACACCTTGCAATGCCTTGAGATTATAGGGTCTAAAGAAGAACACTTGAAAATGGGAGCATTTTTAAAGGGAAGAAGCAAAAAAGTCACACCATCAAATCCCTTTTGATTATTGCAAGTATATAATAATAGTAGTTACATACGGAGTAGTTTATTGAGTATTATCTGTAATGAAAAATGTGCCGCCTGCATATTCCCTAGGCAAAAAACTCAAATAGTCTCTTTACTTTTCCTAATTAGTGAGAGGGCTTACCAAATACTAGTAGTCTCTTTATTTTTGTATTATTTTGTTACTTATTTTATTCCTCTTTTTTTTAAAAAAAAATTCTCAAAAACAAGTTTACTTGTAATTTGAGTTTCTAAAGTTTTAATCTTTTATAAAGAGGAGATATTTTAATAAAAAACAATCTCTTCTATATATTGATTATCTAAATTTAATTACGGAGTATTTTTTAATGTATATTTAAATTAAATATTTATTCTAATGTATATATGAAGTAATTATTAAATATTAAATTAATATTCTAATTTCACAAAAAACTAATCATAGAATAATAAATATTATTAGATTATAATATGAATGATTATTCTAATATATTACTCCCTCCGTTCCAAAAAGTTTGTTACGTTTAGAAAAAACTGCATCTCGTAAAGTTTGTTACATTTCTATTAAAAAACCACTTTTACCCCTTATTTTTTCATACCCTACCTATCACATCATACCTTTTTTCTAATAATCTACCCATCACATACTACTTTTACCCATCACATCAAGGGTATTTTTGGAAAGTCAATACCAAAATATCCCTCCCTTAATTTCCCAAAAAGTCAAACCGTCCCATTCTTTTTGGGACGGAGGGAGTACATTATTACACATATAATATGAATTATTATTACATTATTACATTATAAACTAATTTTATTTTATTAAAAATAATCATAAAATAAAAACATTGATTATATTATAATATGAATTATCATTACAATTTTGAAACATTTTATAAAGTCAAATCGAATTATTAATTTGAATTTTAAATCAAATCATAATTAATCAGATCACGCCAGATCAGAAAAGATTTAATCAGATCAGATAAGATTTAATCAGATCAGATCAGATTCAATCAGATTAGATCAGATCCAATCAGATCAGATCAGATCCAATCAGATCAGATCAGAACTAATCAGATCTGATCCAATCAGATCAGATCCAATCAGATAAAAACTTATCAAAATCAAATTATATCAGAAAAAATAAGTTGAATGGAACAGAGCCTAAGAGTCTATTCTTTAGTGTTTAAACACTTAACTTCTAGTTTATTCCAGTTCTTTCTAACTTCTTCCAATTTCTTTAAGTTCATTTCAGTTTCTTTGTGTTCCTTCCAGTTTTTCCAGCCCCTTCAAACTATTTTCATTTACTTCAAACTCTTTTTACTCCCCATCCAATTACTCTAAAAACTATATATTTTTAATGTGATTATTCTTGTTATATTATTATTATTATTATTATTATTATTATTATTATAATTATTATTATTATTGTTGTTGTTGTTGTTAATGCTGCTGTTGTTGTTATTACAACTATTATGTTCATAACTGTAGTTTATAAATTCTTTTTTTCATCTCACTATTTTTAAGACTCATTATTTTTTCATCAACTTTTTAATATGAACTAGACAATTTTTTGTATAGTAATCTAAATGATAAAATAGGAAAACATCAATATTTTATACTATATTAAAAAATTTTGGATAAAATAGTTACATAGAATTTTTTATTAATATCTATACATCTATACATTATTTAAAAAGACATGAATTTTTTCCCGCCCATGCATGACACTCATATATGGAAAGTGTTGACAACATAAATGGTAGTTTAATTATTTTACCTTAATGTTTTCCTTCCATTTTAAGTATGTTTTTATTTTTATTTTTATTTAAATGTTACACCATTTAAGCATTTAAATTAAATTAAATTAAATAGTAGTGAACCATTGGGGAATTGAAGTATGGAAATAAAATACACTGGAATTTAAATATTAAAATAAAATTTAAAAATTACAAATTAATATAGTATGGGCAGGATTAAAATGATTTATTTCAAACAAACTACAAATTAATTATTTATCATTAAAAAATATTATAATTTACAAGCACAAACACGTAAAAAAGGTAAGTTTTCTAAAAGAGATTAAAAAATAAATATGGTACGGTAAGTAGAAGATAACATTTAAATAAAAGAATAAAATAAAAATTACAAATTAATATTAATACTATAATTTAAAAGAATGGAAACGTTTTAAAAATGACAAATGTTCTTATTAGAAAATTAGAAAATAAATAGATATGGTATGGTAAGCAATTAGCACCATTTAAAACGAAAATAAAATAAATGGTAAGTTTTCTAAAATAAATTAGGTCAGTG